AACCTTGAAGGAGCTACATGCTGGGTCTCATCATGACTTGGCTGTTGCTACTTTTGTCTTCATGTGTCCTTTCCTGAATACAAAAAATATTAAAAACTCCATTTATGACTGAACTATTATACAGATGAAAATAAGCCTGGGTGCATTCTACTCATTTTTCCCTCTCGTATAAAAAGAAACAAAAATTTTTCATGGGCCACTGACAGCATCATGGACCCTAAGCAATGGCACACTGTACCCAATAGAAAAGTCAACCTGGCCAAAGGGAAACCAAGTTGAGAAGGTGTGGGAAGGTGCAGGGCGCAGTGCGGGGATCAGCAGATGGACAAGGAGGGGCTGCTGTAGGCTCAGGAGACCCCACAGGCACAGGGAAGCCCCAGGGCTCCCACATCTCACCCGGTGCTGCACTTCAGGCAGAACTCAGGGGAGTCTTCTCCATGGAAAGTGCCAGTTCTGCACTGACACTGTGTGTCCTTAGTTGTGGTACAAGCAGTACTCTCTTCTTCACCTGAAGACAAAAAGGCAAAGGATAAGGTTTGGGGATATGTTTCCCCTGCGTGACCCTCAACCATTCTTCACCAACCAAACACCCACCCACTCAGCTCTCATCAGTCCAATATAGCTTTCAGGGTCAAATTCGGCAGCTACACATGAGGGGCACATAAAGGACATCCACTATTCACCTGTCACCAATACTCAGAGGTGTAAAAAAAAGGACCATGATACATTATTTAATGCATTAGGACAGGAAGGGAAATCTTTCAGCTCACAGGTCAGTAGGAAAGGTGGGGTATAATCTGAGAGACCCTCGATAGAGAGGAACCCGTGGGTCACCTCCCAAAACATAGCTCTGCTGGAGAGGCCAAGGGGCCCAAATTTCTGAAGGCTTAGCGAGGCCGAGCCCCTGCGAGGAGCACAGAGCACAGGACTAACAGGGGCCTGGCCCAGGACCAGACCCACATCACAGATCAAACCTAGCACTTTTCCACTTGGCCAGGACTTTTCTTACGCTGTGACTATACAGATACCATCCCCTCCCCCATCAAGGGGCAGATTATTTTCCCACCACTTTCATCTGATGATTTAAAAGATTTACCTACTGTATGGCATGTGGTATGAAAATAATTTCTATTTTTATTTTATTGGCCTAAGACATAATCATAAAACAGGGTATGACGAAGCCCAAGAAGGACGGGAACCGGAATCCAGGTGTCCTGATCCCATGTTGGATACAATTCCCACACCATCACTCCTGCACTGGGTCCCACGTTCCATACCTGATTTACAGGTTGTACACGGTAAGCAGGAAGGGAGCACATTCCAGTGAGTGGTAAACTCCACTCCATTTGCACAGGGTGTACAATTGTTTCCATCTGCTGATACATGGTATCCTGAAAAGGGAGAGAAAATCTGGTGAATGAATCCCTACAGGATTCCCAGAGGCAGGCAGTGGTGACTGGGGGGCTCCTCTTTTGGCCATGAGTGGAACCCAAATGGGGAAATTCATTCTACCTGTTGTCGGTCAGTTGATCAATTCTGCATCTACTATACACCCTTGACTAGCATTGCAACAGAAATATATTACAAATCAGAAAGACTTAGAAGAGCTGAACGAACGAGGTCCAATTAATTTTAATAATGTATTGAAATCAATATATTCAAATATGTATGTACATGCATGACTGGGACATTGTGCTGTACACCAGAAACTGACACATTGTTACTGACTGTACTTCAATTACAAAAATCAATATATTCAAAATAATATCAGTTAAGCTCATAATAAGCATAAAACATTCAGATGCTTTACATTAGTTTTTCAAAGTATGTCTTAGAATCCTAGGAATATTTCTGCCTTCCATCACTCAGTATCTGGAGGGGCCATATGTCAAGTGCTCAACAGTCACATGGACATAGTGACTACAAAATTGGACAGTGTCACCAGGTCCCTGGAGAGTCACAGAGGAAAGTCCTAATCCTTGCCCTCAATGAGCTCCAGGTCAATGGAACGCACAAGATCGGAAATAATGAGACAATCACAGACAAGCCTTTAATTAAAGCTCTTGCTACACTCCTGGTAAATGGAAGGAAAAATGGGTCCTGTATGTTGAGTCAAAGAATAACCCTAAGTAAAGGTGGCTTTGCCCTGGAAAAAAGAGGTATTCTCCAGGCACTGGCCTGAGACCTTGCAGGAGCTGTCATTACCTGGGAGCCCATGTCCTGAGTCATACAAAGATTGTGTTTGGTTTATTTCACTTAGCACAGTGGTTTTGAGGTTCAGCCATGTTGTAATGTGTCAGAATTTCACTCTTCTTTTTTTAAAAGGCTAAATAATAATCCATTGCATGTATATAAGAGATTTCGTTTATCTGTTCATGCATCAGTGGACACTTGGGCTGCTTCCAGTTCTTGGCTATGGTAAATAACTTTGCTATGAATAAAGGTGTGCAAATATTTCTTTGAGACCTTGCTTTCAATCCGTTTAGATATATAACCAGAAACAGGATTGATAAATCATACAGTATTTCTATTTTTTAGTATCTTTGAGGCACCATCATACTGTTTTTCCACAGCAGCTGCATCATTTTACAATCTCACCAACAGTACACAACGGTTCCAATTCTGCACATCGTCACCAACCTTTATTTTCTGTATTATTGATAGTGCCATCAAATGGGTACGAGGTAGTATCTCATCATGGTTTTAGTCTGCATTTTTCTGATGGTTAGTGATCTTGAGCATCTTTTCATATGGTTGCTGGCCATTTGTATATCATCTGTGGAGAAATGTCTATTCAAGTCGGTTACCCATTTTTAAGTTGGGATGTCCGTCTTTTGCTGTTGAGCTGTAGGATTGATTTATATATTCTAGGTATGAAACCTTATCAGTTATTTGATTCACCAATATTTTCTCATATTCTGTTGATAGTTTCTTTTCCTGCAGAGATTTAAATTTTGATGTAGTTTGATATGCCTTTTTTTTTTTGCTTTAAATATGACACTATGCTTTAGTACCATATTTTTAAAAACCCATTGCCAAGCCTAAGGCCATCAAGAACTGCCCATCTATTTTCTTCTAAGAGTTTTATACTTTCAATACTTACATTTTTGATTTGAATCATTTTCAGTTACTTTTTGTATATAGTGTAAGGTAAGAGCCCAGCTGCATTCATTGCATGTTTGCTATCCAGTTTCTCCAGCACTGTTAGCTGAAGAGACTACTCTTTTCCCATTGAATGGTCTTCAATATCAAAAATCAATTGACCATAGATATAAGGGGTTTATTTCCAGTCTCTTAATTCTATTCCAATGGTCTATATGTCTAATCATTATGCTAATACCACATGGCTTTGATTACTGTACTTGGAAATCAGGAAATATAGGTCTCTCAACTTTGTTTTTCTTTTTGAACATTGTTTTGGATACTGTGGGTCCCCTGGAATTTCATACAAATTTGTAGATGGTTTCTTCCATTTCTGAAATTACACCACTGGGATTTTGATAGAGAGTGCATTGAATCTACATATTGTTCCAGGTGATACTGTGATTATAACAGCAATGTCTCCCAACTCATGAACATGGAAAGTCTTCCTGTTTAGGCCTTTTAAAATTTTTTCAGCAATATTTTGCAGTTTTCACTGTAAAAGTCTTATGCCTCCTTGTTACATTTAGTCTTACTCTTAAGTATTTTATCCTTTTTAGGCCATTGTAAATGGCATTGTTTTCTTAATTTCCCTTTGGAATTGTTTATTGGCAGTGCACAGAAATAGAACTGTTTTGTATGTGTTGATCTTATTAGTTGAAACAGGTTAGAGTTCATTTGTCAGTTCTAACAGATTTTTGCAGGGAGGGACTCTCTGTGCTTCCTGGACCAAGATGTTTCCTTTTCCAGGTTAGGGAAGTTTTCAACTATTATGACTTTAAATACATTTTCTGCTCCTCTCTCTCTCTTTCTTCTCTCCTTCTGGGACCCCTACAGACTTCCAGTTGTGAAATAAAAGAGTCAGAACTATGACATATTCAGTGTGGGAAATATAGTCAATAATTAAGGAATAAATTTGTATGGGGACAGATTTATCGTCATCTTTTTGAAATTCATAGAAATATCAAAATAACCATGTTATGTAACAAGAACCAACATAGTGTTGAAGGTCAATTATACTTCAAAATCAAACCAATAAAGTCAGAGGAAAAAAAATTAGAGTTATGGCTGCTAGACGTGGCTGGTAGAGGAAGGGGAATTGGATGAAAGTAGTCGAAAGGTACAAACTTCTAGTTATATATCAAATAAGTACTAGGGATGTAATATACAACATCATAAATATAATTAACACTGCTGTATGTTATATATGAAATTTGTTAAGAGAGTAAATCCTAAGAGTTCGCACCACAAGGAAAAAATATTTCTTCCTACTCCTAATTTTTATCTATGTGAGATGATGGAAGTTCACTTACTGTGGTAGTCATTTCTTGATGTATGTAAACTTAAACAGTCCTGTCAATTATATCTCAATCATACTGAAAGAAAATAATGAAGGACTCATTCTAAGACAAATGAATTCTTCAAAAGAGAAAAAGAAAAAACTGGAAAGTTAAAAAAATGTTCTCCTGTCTCTTATAAAACTATTGTGACTTTAAATCTGCTTTGTTCATAAGATAGCCATCCTACTTCTCTTTTGGTGCAAGATCTTGTTCCAGCCACTTACTTTCGACCTCTTTGTGTCTCTGCATCACTAGATGGGCTGAAATGGCAAAACTGCGCAGGCAGAATAACATCAAAACTTAATGGACATGAAGATAAGGCTATTAAAATCATCCAGTCCGAGGAGCAGAAACAAGAAGAATGATTTAAAAAAAAAAAAAACAGCGCCTGAAGGACCTGTGGGACACCACCAAGCGCACCCATGTACACATCATGGCAGTCCCGGCACATTTTCTTCCTTCACTGTGATACGAGATTCGTTCCGTGTATCCAAGGAACTCAATGAGATCCCAAGCAGGATCGAATTTTAAAGAGATCCACCCAGAAACCTACAGTCAACAGGACAAAAGGCACATATGCAAGCAGAGAATCTTTCAAACAGCACCTAAGAGACGGATGTGCTGATGTCGCTCTCTCCCACGCCGGCCGCCCTAAGTCGCTCCAGACGAGGGACGACGTTCACGGGCCCGCTCGCAGGCCTCTCTCCTCCCAGCCTTCCCGCTGGTGGTGGGCGGGAGGCAGGGGTGCGGAAACCGGCCCCACGGCGCTCTCCCGCCCTCTGCCTCACCGCGTCGGCGGGCCGGGGTCCTCTGACCCAGCGGTCACTCTCGCTCGGCTCCTGTGTCTCGCGAGAGAACCCCCCCCCCCGCCATAGGGGCTGGGGAAGCGCCCCGACGCCACCGCCCCTCCCGCGCCTTTGTCGCGCGAGCGCGTCTCGCCAGACCCTCGGATGTTTCCTTGAGGCGCTCAGGGTCGTCCCTCGGGTGCCTGAGGCCGAGCGGTGGCCTCGTTTCCTGTTCCCAACAAGCCTGTGGGGAATCCGCTGCGGTGCTGCGTCCCCGAGCAGCTCTCCTGCGGGTCGAGACGGTAAGGGAGGCAGGCCGGTCCCCCTTGTGGGGACAGGTGCCTCGACGTGGCCGTCCTCACTGCGTGCGGGGAGCGGGGGGGCTGACTTGGCTGGGCGGGTGCCGTGTGCCCCCCTCGCTGGGGTTGCACGCGGGCGTGTGGCGGGTCGGGCGATGCGAAGGGGGGCGCTGTCAGACCTCTCAGGCACGCTCCCTCCTGAGGCAAACCGACGAGCCTGAGGGAGCGCAGGCTTTCCCCGCCTTGATGGCGAGCACTCCCCTTAGCCAGCGCAGGCACTGGCTTCTGAAGCGCGTCCATGGGCCCGGCGGGGAGACAACAGGTGGGGGACGACGCGCCCTCGGT